TTAAAGTGTAAATCTCTCTTCATACTTAACTTGTATTATTTGTTAAGAGAGATCATTGGTTGAAAATCTTTGATACAAAGATATAAACTATTTCATTATTCATTATTCATCAAAGTTTACAACATCAACACTTGAGCTTTATTATTTGCTATCTATTGAAGTGTTTACATAACTCTCTAATACTTAACTTGATTATATTATTTGTTAAGAGAGTTTCTTCATTGTAATTTATCATTTATTTCTTGACGGTTTCGAGAGCCTTGTGAAAACTCGATTATAAAGATATGTGCTTCTTGTTGTAAGTCACCTAAGGATAAGTGCTCCTTGTTGTAAGTCACTTAAGGTTAAGTGCTCCTTGTGTAAGTCACCTAAGGATAAGTGCTCCTTGTTGTAAGTCACTTAAGGATTGGTACTCCTTGTTGTAAGTTACCATTATAGTGTATTTGGCCTTTCTCGTGACGGAAAACTTGGTAACGGGGGACGTAGATCATTGGATTGGATCGAACCTCCATAACATATCGTTTGCATTCTCTATCCCTTTTACTTAACGCATTTACTTTGCGCAAATTTACATTGTTGCATTTACGTGTTTACTTGTGTTTAGACTATTCTCTATTATTTGCATGCTCACTTATTAAAATCATGAGTGATTAACGAAAAAGTTTTAATAGCCAATTCATCCCCCCCCCCCGGTTAGTTATTCTTGGGCTAACAGTTTTAACCTGGCTGCCTCTTCGTCTTATTCGCATTTTCGTCCTTTTTTGCCTCATTTTTGCTATAGAAGCATTAGTTTTTGTTGTCATATTTTGGTTTCTTCTTCTGGGTTTTGTTTTTGACTGAATTTGTAGGCTTTTTCACTTTCTCTGAAGGGGAGATCTTGTAGGAGTAGTTTTCTGATTTCATGGCAGTTGGAATACAGGTTTGGATTGTAGTCATTCATTTATATTGATTGTTCTTCCAATCCCTTGTTTTAACAGAGCATTTTTTTCTTGCTGGTTTCAACTGAATTTGCAGGTGAGGTGCTTCCATGAGTGCACGGAGGCACATCCCGTGTTTCTTCGTGCGCGCATGGAGACGCGCCCGTGTGCCTCCGTGATTCAATGGGATATATTCAATAAAAGTTGATACCAGTAAAAGACCATCATTGAAATTTCATCCTTGCATGATCTGATACAGTGCACTGAGGGCATTTCTAGAGTATGCCGAATCAATATAGTATCTTTTTTTGACGCACATTCGAATCTATTTGGCACTAGAATGCCTTTATTAGGATGTAACTTTATAAAATAGTCGTGTGCTAAGCAAATGAAAGCAAAATATGCTCATACAAATTTGCCCTACTTTGTTTGATGGCTTGGGTTTATAATCCAGTGCATTGCGGTCCTTGGTTCCAATGTTTTAACTAGAACTGATTATCTCATGTTTTGAAGAAGTCAGCCCGGGTTTCTCACGTAATTTTCCGCAAGCTGAAGATATCTGCAATGAGTAAAGAATGGAGTTTCTGGATGTTGGTATTAATTCTCCGTAATATGATTTTTTGAAGGTTGCTTCAGTCAGCTTAGGGGTTAGTTCTCTTGTATGGGTGGAGGATCAGATGAAGCATGGATAGATGGGGAGGTTGTTGCTGCAAAGGTGAAGATATTAAGGTCCAATGTGCATCAGGAAAAATAGTGTGTAATTTTTACATCCTTTTAAGTTATTTTTATTGGATTAAGTATTTCTTGCTTAAATTGGAGGGCTTACAAATTTACTAAATTTAGCCTCTTTTATATTTTTGTCATCATTTTTCTACAAATTGTTGCTATGTCTTCTAATGTCTATCCTAAAGATGCAGAAGCCCCGCTTTGTGGAGTGGATGACATGACAAAGTTGGCATATTTGCATGAGCCTGGAGTCTTTATAATTTAAAAACCAGATATGATATAAATGAGATATATGTGAGTTTTTTAGTATTGCATTCTTCATCTGGAAAACGTTCCTTCTTCCCCCGATTACTGCCTTCATCGATAAAACTCTGAAAAATTATTGGAACCTTTCTATTTGTGCATTTTCCAAACTTACACTGGAAATATATTAATTGCTGCGAACCCTTTCCAAAAATTGCCCCATCTGTACGATAGCCATATGATGGCGCAATACAAAGGAGCAGCATTTGGCGAGTTGAGTTTACATCCTTTTGCTATTGTAGATGCTGTTTATACGCAAGTTTCATTTTATATCAACTGCTTGAGTTTGCATACTTTGTATTTCTATTGAATAGATCATTTCTTTGCATAGACTAATGATGAATGAAGGAATAAGTCAGGAAATTTTGGTTAGCGGTGAAAGTAGGGCTGGTAAAACCAAAAGCACGAAATTGCTTATGCATAATCTTGCATACATGGGAGGGGGAGGGGGGGAACTGTGGCTGAGGGAAGGACAGTGGAACAACAATTTCTTTAGGTATACTTAGCTGAATAAGCATAGATGAGAAGTACTGCTCATGATGGCGGCAAGGAGACACGGTGCAATGTCTCCGTGCGGAGACACAACCGTGTCTCCGCACGAAGACAGCACTGAGGCACACAGAGGCACCTCCGTGCGCGCAAGGAGGCACTACCGTGTGCCTCCGTGCGCATAAGGAGGTGCCTCCGTGTGCCCAAGGAGGTAGCTCCATGCAATTTTTTTCTTTTTAAATACAAATAACAATGTTTCTTAAGGCAATCAACAATTTTCTTTTTTTTTACATTGCTACCAATAACAATGTTTTTTTACTCAACGGAGACACGGGCTGATCTTGCTTCAGCCACATATCTGTGGTAGCACAGGTCGAAGCTAATCTAAGATGATTATATAGGTAAAGATAAGAAAAAGCTCTTTCAAGGCGATTTAACTAAAGTCATTAGGGACCAATATATTCGCCTTTAATAGAAAAATTAGATACAAATCGTTAATTTTGTGGTTATAGGAAGAGGAAAAACAAGGATAACTAACATAGGTGCCCGAAGGTGATGTTCTAGAGTGGAGAAACAATGCATCAGAGCCTAAAATTTTGGGGCTAGACATTCTCGAATATTTTTGTTTTTCTTCTTGAAGATAATAGCAGTGCCTTTTAAAGGATCGGGCAAGCACAAATACAATTTCCAACGTGTTGAATTTCCTCCTTTCCCTGTACACTTTTGTGACTGTGAGGAACATTCTGGCCCTAAGACAGTTAAAGAAAAAGCTTATAATCATAAAAGTGAAAATTTTGGAGTAAATGAGGAAGAGCTTGACATTATGAAGTCGGTTATGAACAAGATTTTGGAAAGAGAGAACTGCTCAAATGCAACTCGTAACAACGCTAGATTTACTATGGAAGTATACAATTCAGCCACATTACTCAACAATGTGCAAGTTGATGACAATGGGGATGATCAAGTGACGATGAAGATAACTTGTTAATTTGAGGGATGGGCTTACAATCTTGCATATTGAAGGGTCGCAAGATTTTGTTCAAATAGTTTTTTTGACTAAGCCAAATCTTCCTATTATTTCCGTCTCGACAAATTTGCATTCCTAGAATCTTGTTTGCTGGTCCCAAGTCCTTCATTTCAAACTCCCTAGCCAACTGTGCCTTCAGGTTTTTAATACGATCTTTGTTAGGGCCTGCTACCAACATGTCATCAACATACAACGGCAAAATAATAAAGCAATATCTTCAAATCTCATGTAGCATGCACACGGATCTGAACTGAGTCTGTTGTATCCAAGGCTTATGATGAAGGAATCAAATCTCTTATACCAACATCTCGGCGCCTGTTTGAGACCATATAGAGATTTGTCCAACCTGCAAACCAAGTTCCCTTTTCCTTTTTCTTCAAAACCTTCTAGTTGGAGCATATAAATCTCTTCTTCAAGTTCTCCATGAAGAAATGCAGTTTTCACATCTAACTGCTCCAAGTGTAAGTCGAATGTAGCACATATCGCCAGAACTACTCGAATTTTTGTGAGATGAACCACATGAGAAAATATGTCGTTGAAGTCAATGCCTTCTTTTTTAGCATATCCCTTCACCACCAGTCTTGCACGATACCGCTCCACTTGATTATTGCCATCTTGTTTGATCTTGTAGACCCATTTATTTCCAATGGCCTTCCTTCTTTGTGGTAGTGGTACAAGATCACATGTCTTGTTCTTATGAAGAGCTTCAATTTCTTCTTGCATTGCTACCATCCACAGAGAAACCTCTTGGCTATTTATAGCCTCATGGAAAGTTGATGGCTCTCCATCTTCTGTTAGTAAGCAGTAGGCAACATTGCTCTCCATAATGTACTCTGAGTGCCAAGCTGGTTCTTTTCTTTCTCGTGTTGATCGTCGAACATCTGGAGCACTAGACTCTACTTGTTCTTGTTCTTCGTACTCTAATGTTGGTTCAAAATAATCTATAACTTCTCGTTCATCTCCAACTTCAGCTGTAGTAGTCTCTGATTTTTCTTTCTAAGTGCTATCATTTTCTTTCTCTTGCACCTTCCCTTCGGGAAATATTACATCTCTGCTGATTATCACCTTGTGGGTTGTGGGATCCTACATGATGTAGCCCTTAATTCCATCAGCATATCCTAAGAAAATACATTTTCTGGATTTTGGATCCAGTTTTGATGTTTCTTGGATGTTGTACATAACATACACAGGACTTCCAAATACATGTAATGTGGTTGATTTTAACTTGTATTTTGGAAAATTCTATTTTTACATAAATTTCTACCTAATATTTTACCGAATTGACAGGTGACGACTCCCTATTGGGGGCAGCCAGTGTAGCATAACTCTTATATTTTTATCAACCTTTTAACTAAACCAAATAGGGCTTTATTAAATTTTGTTAAAAATGGCAAATACGAAAATTTTAAAAAGGAAAAAATACATAATTACCGTACTTTCAAGATACACTTTCAAATTTAAGAAACTTGATTAAGGCCTTGTATGGAGGGATTAAAATCGGATTAAAATTGAAAATATAGCCGTTATTGTTGACTTTTNGCCTTGTATGGGAGGGATTAAAATCAAATTAAAATTGAAAATATAGCCGTTATTGTTGACTTTTATTAGACGAGTGGGACCCAATAACGGCCATATTTTCAATTTTAATTGGCTTTTAATCCCTTCCGAACGGGGCCTAAATATTTCAAAAATTAGGTGCTCACATTTTGTGACATCTAATTATGTTTGGCCCCAATTAAATTTTAATTTATTTTTCGCTCTCCTCTTATCAATCACACATCCTCTCAATAAAATAATATCACACCTAAATTCAAAAATTCTCCTTACTTTTTAACCATATATTCTTAAAAAAATACTATTCCAAAATCAATTTTTTCCCCATATAATGGAGTCTAAACAATTGCATAATTTATGGTCACATTCACATACTAGTCGTAAATCACACAATATCATAATCACAAAGACATAATTTGTAAGTCATAATTTTTCAAATCACACATTTTATAGGTTACAACTTATTTATTGACCACAAACTATTCTATTAACTAATTACAATCAATCTTCTTCTCACCCCACCCCCGTCAACTACCATCGACACCATCCAAAATATCGTTTTCACGTCAAATTCATAACACATTGCCATCTCCACCTCAAAATTACCATCACCTCTTTCAATTTCAAAAATCCAAGATGAATAATTTTATTTTATTTTGTTTTTATCAAAAATCAAATATATTCAATCCAAATGACTTAATCACTTTACAAAAATTGGCCAAAATGCTACTCCATTTGTTCTTCCTCCATGCATTCTTCCTTTCTCCTATCAATTATTCATATCTACAATCGTGTTACAACTATTTGCCTTTGAGATTCCTTCATTTTCAGTACCATTTCGCTGAATACACTCCCTAATCTTACTCTCCCCTTTTTCGATACCATTTCACTGATACTTGAGTAAAGAAGAAACAATAGAAAAGGAAGTTGCAATATAACTGATTTGTAATATATTATATATTAAATAATTTATGAAATAATTTGATTTATGAAATAATAAATTTATATTGAAATTAAAAGTTTAAAAATAAGTGTGGGTAACAAATAATGAAATAACAATGCACTTTTTCATAGATTTGTAATTCTGGTGGGAACGAATAATGTTAACGTAAAAGTTATACAATCCATTTATGGGCCTAAACCCACCAAAACCCCAACCCACCCCACCCCCACCCCAATGCCGCTCGGCTCTCGCCCTCTTTGTTTTTCTTTCATTCGTAGTTTTGAGGTATTCGATTTTTTCTTTTTCATTTTCGTTTTCAATTCCATTGTTTTTTTTTTCATTTCGAAACTACAGTGTTTATATCTTCATAAAAAATATGTAATATGTTGTTTGATGATTAGATAATAGGTGAAATGAAAATAATTCAAACTGTATTGCGGTCTGCAAATAATGATTTGTCTCCCCAATTTCAAACGCCTGAAGTAAATCGAATTTTTTCTGCCAACCCATTTTCATGTAATTACTTCTTTTAATAATGCTTTTTTGTTAAAAAAAAAAATTGATTTGGTGAAGTTATTTCACGAATGTGAAGTTGATTTAATAGGTTTTCTCCATTGTGTTCATTTACTCGATGAAATTTACATCAACCATTTTTGGAATTTGGTGAAGTAGAAAGTTATTGTTAATGATGAATTTATAATTTGCTTAATATGTTTCACCAAAGGTTTTGGTTGCTGCAAGGAATTTATATTCCAGTTTCACTACAGGAATGGAGGAAATATTAATTAGATTTGAAACACAAAGGGAGACCTTTTCATACATTTTATAACTTTAAATGAAATGTTAAAAGATCTTATATTTGTTGAAAGTCTCAATTATTTTCATCGATGATCAGGTAGAAAGATAATTCCTTGTAACTGTAGCGCCTTTATAGTGTGAAATCTCTTTTATATTTACATCTGAAAATGTTGGCTCTGAGGCAGTCAAGTCTTATATTTATACAGGTATCAGTGGCAAATAGAATTCTAACTCATTTGAGTCTTGTAAAATGGAGATCTAGGAATAAAGAGAAGAAGTTAATTTTGGAGGGAAAATGATTATCCCCAATTTTCACACTTCAATACGGTAGGTACTATAGGTATTTATACAAAGATACTAAAAGGTAAAATGACAAAACTATCCTCCAACAATAGGGAAAATGACAAAGCTATCCTCCAACAATAGCAAAATGACAAAGCTATCCTCCAAAGATAACAAAATGCTCAAGACTCCCCCTCAAGATGGAATATGCACATTCAAGATTCCCATCTTGGCAATCAATGACCTGAATTGAGCTCTTCCTAATGGTTTAGTCAAAATGTCTGCCAACTGATCTTGAGACGCCACATGAATCATTTTAACTTCTCCATATTGGACCTTATCTCTCACAAGATGGCAATCAATCTCACTATGCTTAGTCCTCTCATGAAAAATCGGGTTACTAGCAATATGAATGGCTAATTTGCTGTCACAGAAAAGGAGAGCTACTTTGTTGTGGTTTACACCAAGATCTCCAAGAACATTCTTCGGCCAGCTTAATTCACAAACAGCCGCAGCCATAGACTTGTACTGTGATTCAGCAGACGATCTGGAGACAGTAGGCTGCTTCTTTGATCTCCAGGAAACCAGTGAATTCTCTAGAAACACACAATAGCCTGTGATTGATCTTCTAATGTCTGAACATGCAGCTAGTCAGCATCACAAAAACCTTTAAGCAAAAGATTTGACTTGCTCTCAAGCATTAAGCCCTGTGCTTGAGTTCCTTTCAGATATCTAAGTACATGATGGACAGTTTCAAGAAGTGGCTGCCTTGGTAATTGAAGAAATTGGCTAAGCATTTGAACTGCATAGGATAAATTCGGTCTGGTAATGGTTAAGTATAGAAGGATAAATCCGGTCTGGTAATGGTTAAGTACAGAATCCTGCCTATCACTCTTTTGTAAATACTTGCATCCTTAACGGGTTCTCCTTCATCCTTACCTAGCATCAAGTTCTGAAGCAGAGGATGCTTTGCAGGCTTAGATCCAAGGTAGCCAGCATTTGATAGTACGTCTAATGCATAATTTCGTTGATTGACAAATATTCCCTTCGATGTTCTTGCAACTTCCAACCCCAGAAAGTACCTCAAAAGTCCCAAATCTTTGAATTTAAAATGTTTATTCAACTCCCTTTTGAATTGTTCAATATATATCAGATCATTGCCCCCTAGAATTATATCATCCACATAAACAAGTAACACAGTGAATGATTCATCTGTTTGCTTGGTGAACAAAGAGTAATCCAATCTAGATTGCTTGAAACCTTGTGAAACAATGTAAGAGGTGAGTTTAGCATTCCACTGCCTAGATGCTTGTTTCAACCCGTAAATAGACTTGTGTAATTTGCACACCAATTGTTCTCCACACTCCCCCTGCTGCTCATATCCCTTTGGCATCCACATGTAAACTTCTTCATTAAGGTCTCCATGGAGAAATGCATTGTTAATATCCAATTGCTGAAGATGCCAACACTTATGAGCAGCAATAGACAACAATATCTTCACAGTTACAAGCTTTGCAACAGGGGAGAAAGTCTCTTCATAATCCAAGCCGGCTTGTTGCGTGAAGCCTTTAGCAACCAACCTGGCTTTCTTTCTCTCCTGAGTCCCATCAGCAATAAGTTTGACCTTGTAAACCCACTTGTAAGTAAGAGGCCTTCTATGTTCAGGTAAAGGTGTTACAGTCCAAGTGTTATTGGAGACTAACATCATTATCCATTGCTGTGCACCAATCTGGACATTTTGCAGCCTCTTCATAAGTTTTGGGCTCATAATTAGTAGACAAAGCAAACGAATACCGTTTATATGCTGGTGACAATCTACCATAGTCCAGATAATCAGAAATAGGATATTGCTTACCAGCCTTCTGATCTTCCACCATGGATTTCGAATGTGGAATAGGGACCTGAGACAGACTGCAGTGATAGTCTTTAAGATAGGCTGGGGCTCTTTTGGGTCTAATGGAATGTCTGATAGGAAGAGCAGAAGGCAAAGAAGGATCAGAAGCAGAAGGTTGGGGCTCAGATTGATTGGAAACAAAATTGATAGGAGTAGAATCACTAGTAGTATGCAGAATAGGTGTGTTAACTGATAAATCACAACTTTGATTAGGAAGCAGAGGTGAGTCAAAAGTCATACTTTCATTACATTTGGATAATGAAGCAAGAAACCTTGGATGATTGAATGGAAAGATGCTTTCATGGAATACAACATTCCCAGATGTAAATACAGAATGGGTCAAAAGGTTGTATAATTTGAATGCTTTCATTCCATAAGGGTAGCCAATGAAGATGCAAAGAATAGCTCTAGGATCGAACTTAGTACGGTTCTTCTTTATACTTGAAGCATAACAAAGACACCCAAAAAACTTGAGGTAAGTATAAGAAGGTGCTGCTTTATGAAGCATTTCATAATGAGTTTTATTTGCAAGGTAAGAGAAGGTGTTCTGTTGATCAAATATGTTGCAACAAGTATGGCTTCCCCTCAGAATTTATGAGGCAAATTTGCTTGGAACTTTATGGCTCTGGCGATATTAAGAAGATGATGATGCTTCCTCTCAACAACGCCATTTTGTTGAGGAGTTTCAACACAGCTGAGTTGGTGAAGGATACCATTGGATTGGAAAAATTCAGCGATGTGAAATTCTGAACCATTATCAGATCTGATGGTTTTAATTTTGCACTCAAAATGGGTGAGAATTAGATGATAAAAGGACTGAATGATAAACCTAGTATGTGATTTATCCCTCATCAAGTAGGTCCAAGTCATTCTAGTATAATCATCAACAATAGTGAGGAAATACCTAGAGCCATCTAACGAAGGTATTGAATAGGAACCCCATATATCGCAATGAATGATGTCAAATTTTTTTGAAGTCTTAGTTTCACTTCTAGGAAAAGGTAACCTATGTTGTTTAGCTATAGGACAAGTGGCACAATGCAAATGCTTATTGAAAGTGATGGCAGGAACTGAATTAAGCAAAACAGAAAGCTTGGCAACAGGAATATGTCCCATACGACAATGCCATAAATCAATATCAGATTTTACATCAAGAGTACTTATTGAATTACAAGAAGGATATCTTGCTTTATTACAATGTAAGCTGCAAACAGAATTGCAATTGGAATTAAGGGAAATAGGAAAGCTATTTTTAGGAGTGTATGTCTGACAAAAATCAGAACTGAATAGCTGAACGGGCTGTTGGAACACATGCAGTCCATCTTCAAGTTTGCCCATTCCAATCGTCCTCCATGTTGAAAGATCCTGCACAAAACAAAATTGATGTAAAAACATCAGAAAACAATTATGTTTCAAAGTCAATTTACTTGCTAAAATCAGATTAAACTTGAAACAAGGCACCACCAATACATCAGACAGAACTAAGGAATCAGACAACTTCACAGTCACAATATGAGTAGCCTCAACCCTGTTACCATTAGGCAATCTAACTGCTGCCTTATTCTTGTGAGACACTAAAGTCAAGTGCCTAGTGGAACACACCATATGTTCTGAAGCACCAGTGTCCATGATCCACTTAACAGCACCAATTTTGGTGAGAGAACAAGCATAGTTACATGTGAATGCGAAGGCATCTAATGCAGAATAACTATTGCTAAGTTCATCTTGAGTTTTTGATTGCTCTTGTGTTCGAGAACCATTAGTTGCCTATCCTTGGAGCTGAGGCATTAGCATTGCCAGAACTTGCTTGCATTGATCAGGAGTAATAGTTAAACTAGACAAGGAATTTATAACTCCAATTTTATCACCATCAGTAGACAATTGCCCAACAGCATTAGCCATCACAGATTTACCTATAGCAAATCTATGTCCAGGAGGATATCCTACTATTTTGAAGCACTTTGCCTTTATATGCTCAGCAGAAGCTGCAAATAGGCCTATCCTTCCTTTGATTTTGAATAAATCGAACATTTCTCTGACCTCCACTACATCCTTGAGCAACATTATTTACAAACGCAGATACTTCAAAACTCTGTTGCTTCTTCGCAGTCACCTCCTTTTGCCTTTCATCTTGTAAGATCAGTGTAAAGACCTTATTTAGAGGAGGCAGGGGATCTATCAGTAAAATTTGACCTTGAACTACAGAGTATCACTCATCTAATCCCATCAAAAATTGCATCACTTGATCTTCTTGTTTATAATCAGATCCAGTGATGTTAGGTCTGTAGTTATCTAGTTCTTCCTATAATCCTTTATATCGATTAAAATATGAGTTAACAGAATTGTATTCCTGAGAAATATTTGAGATCTGTTTCTTCAATTTATAAACTTGAGGACCATTGCCCTGATTATACTGATCTTTCAGCTCAATCCATATCTCTCTAACCGAGTCCTTGTGCATAACACTAGGATAAAGTTCCTTTGTGATAGAATTGATGATCCACGAAGACACCACATGGTTACATCTTCTCTAGACGCTATATAATGGATCATCAATACCTGGTTCAATTATAGATCCATCTATGAATCCTTCCTTGTTCTTTACACTGAACGCCATAATTACAGCGCGATTCCATGTCGCATAGTTGTCCTCTTCGAGAATAACAGAAATGAGTTGCATACCAGTATTGTCACCATAATGAAGGTAATACGGACTGCTTGGATCCGTAATTACCCGACTGGCAACCGAATTTGTTTCTTCTCCAATTGGATCCCGACGTTCTCCAATAGATAAACCTAGCGACGCCATAGTAGCGAGCTTCAATAAAGCTTTGATACCATGTAAAATGGAAATCCAAGAATAAATAGAAGAATATAATTTTGGAGGGAAAATTACTATCCCCAATTTTCACACTTCAATACGGTAGGTACTACAGGTATTTATACAAAGATACTAAAAGGTAAAATGACAAAACTATCCTCCAACAATAGGGAACATGACAAAGCTATCCTCAACAATAAGAAAATGCTCAAGAAGTCTTCTGAAGAATTTGAGCAAAGAATTTTTAGTGATGCTTCCATGAGTGGTCCAACTTTGAGTTCCTTTTATCAAAAGCTTGATAAGGCTGAGAAGGTGCATGACCCATCTGGGTTTGGATCTAGATTCAATGTTGGAAACAGATCTAATTTCTTGGATGGTCTAGATGAGTTTCAATACATTGTCTGATGGGATGGATGAAAAATTGAAGAAAGCAGCCACCTACTTCGATTATGATCCTGACGAAATAAGTAAAGATGATTATGCTTACAGACCAGATATGAATTTTTGGACTGGGAACACTTATGATATCAAGGTATGAATCTTAAAGTGGGATTTGTGAAAGTTGTTTTGAATAATGTTTTCTTATATTGCATTGTTTCTGCGTACTTTCTAGATGTCCGTATTATCTATCCTTGAATTCTGATTCAAAGAAGCTATTAAGAGTTTGAGAAAACAGGGAAAATATCAATTTGAATTGTCCACGTAAATTACATGGGCCAAATGTGAATCTTTTTAAACTCTTTGGATGCCCTAATTTTATATACCACAGGGTTGAATAATGCACTGTTATGGTCTGACTACACATCGCCATGATGGATCATTGTTTACGAATTATGTGCGTCTTATATTTTTTTTCTTTACTTGATAATTATGCTTCTTAAAGTTTGTTTGAAGAAATTCACGTATGGTCTTAAAAAAACGTTGTTTTCTATATGACAACTCATATTTGAAGGAAAAAAATTCATTGACCTGTTGGGAACTTGTTTTTGTCAACTATTGCAATTGTTACTGACTAAGAAAAAGGTGTGACTCGTACAAGACGTTTGTCATATCACCTTAACATGTTCAACTTTTGATTATGTGTTGAGTTCTACATCCCCTTAGGTAATAGAAAATCAGTTTGATGTTGTTTAACCTGATATGCTTCAGCTTCTTGATATGATTTTGTTCCATATCCTATTGTGTTATTGCATTTAGTGATCTCATGTTTACCTCTCTGCCTTCCATTGGTCTATTCAGGATCTTGACCTGAGAAAGCCTGGAATTCGCAAGCCCTATAAAAGGAACGAGTTTGAAACAACATTGGAAGAAGTTTTATGTAAAGCTGATTTCAGGGCGCGGATTTTTGATTGTCACTCATAAATATTATTTCTATTGAGAATTTGAACGTGTAAATGTGTACAATTGATGGCTGGTATAGAATTTGGACTTTATCAAGTTTCCTTTATCTGTTTTGCTGGAGTGTAGTGGAGTTTTCCATAGAAGCTTCTGTTCATAAAGAGTGATGTGTCCTTGGTGGAATGTGTTAGAAGAAGGAGGGATGAATAAAAAACAACATAGCATGTGGTAGTTACTAAGCATATAGTTGCTTTAAATCTTAGAGCATGTTTGGGAAGCACTCCAAGCATATACTTAGTGTAGTTTAACAATGAACCGAACATAATAACGGAGTGGGGTGGGATGGAGCTTTGAGTTTAGAAATAATGTCGAGGAAGAGACTGATATTTTAAGATTCTGAATGAACTCGTAAATTAATCTTACATATCTCGCTGATCAAGATTGTTGTATTTGATTATTGCTTCAATGTGATGAGATTGTTCATTATTGGTCACAATTTAACTTATAATTTGATACATAGCCTGAATACCCTTGACTTCATAAGAGAGTTTTGATGTGATGAAATAGCGCCTTTTAAGTGATTGAGAGTTGCAATTTTTTTATTTGATGTGGTTTATTGTTGTCATCTTACTCAGTTTCCATATAGTTTTGGATGCATATGTTTATTTGGAAGGATATTGATAGTTTTTTTTTCCTTCCCCTGTATTAGAGTAGCTTTAAATTTAAGTTATCTATGGCCTAGTTTATTGGGGGGATTAAAAGGTAGACGGTCAAATATTTTGAAATAAATCCTGTTCTTGTTTGACCATAACCATATACATTTCTTTCCACCTCAAGTTTTCTGATACGTTTATATGTTACTTTGTCTTTGGTTCCATAGTCATTTCATTCTACCCCAACTTCTCTGACAGGGTAATATATTAATTTCTCTTGTCTTTCTTTCGGTTTTAAATTGATCAATGAACACTTGAGTGGTTTCTTGTTCGTTATGCTAGCAAAGGCAATTCAGGAAGTCGTGATTTCACTTTTGTCTTAAAAGTGTTCCTGCATTTCGGTTGTGGCTTAAAACCTTTCACCACAATGGGAGCGAATCAGTTCATATATGGCAAAACAATGGAAGATCTTGATGAAGATTATTCATACGAGACTTATGATCGCAGTTTTGATGAGGTTGCAGTGGAGATTTGAACAGCCCATTTGTTTTGATTATCATTCTCTACAAAGACAAGAACTGCAATTTTTGGACATACTAGTGATAAATTTGCATACAGCTCGTTTTCCACTATGGTGCTTCTCCTACTCGTGGGACTTGGTAATCGTCAAGGATATTCACTCACCTTGGATAGTTGGATAGTGACTTTTGTCATTTTTTGTAACCTTTTCATGTTGGAATGTGCATGTATTGTTATTGGTGAGGGGACGAATCTGATTTTGATTGGTTCATGTAGACATATTCGTGCATAACTTTCCAATATGAGCAAATTTAAATAAGAAAAAAAAGGTATAATGTTATTCATACTATGTGGCATATTTAATAATTTTAAAAAATGAATAACTTTTGGTAATGTTATGCAACGTACGATATCACATATGATGATTACTGTAATCACTGACTATGAATATTATTACTCGAAAAAGAATGATAATCTTTCTTATATTTGGAGCTTTTACCCAAACTTGGTAAAAGTTATTAGAAGCATCAGTTGTCCAAGTTGTTATTTTAGTTTGTTAGTTGATTGTCCAACTGGTTACAGTTATTATCTTTTTTGCGGTAGTTTTTATACAACTTTGTACATTCATGTTGTATGATTTTGATCAATAGTGAAACCTTCTTCATTTGGATTATGAATCTAATATGTTATCAGAGTAAAATTCTTCTCTACGCACTTCTTTTTCCTTTCTTCAAGTATTTTGAACTGTAATTCTGATCTCAAATGGATCTGTCCACAAGGAAATCTACCATTGATGAACCTTCAAGCCCCTATTTTCTTCAACATTCCGACAGTCCAAGATTGGTACTAGTGTCACAACTGTTAACAAGGAGAAAACTACGCCTCTTGGAGCCTAGAAATGACAATTGCATTGTCCATGAAAAATAAACTCGGATTCAACAATGGAACTATAACAAAACCGAAAGATTCAAACACTGATTTGATCAATCCATGGATCGGAAACAATAATATGGTGTTTTCTTGAATCCTTAACTCCATTTCAAAGAAGATTTATGCGAGTGTGATCTATGCAATTTCAACATATGAAATTTGGAATGATCTCAGGGATAGCTTTCAACAAAAGAACGGGCCACATATCTTTCAATTGAGAAGAGATCTAATGAATTTAGTCCAAGATCAAAGTAGTGTCAGCATATACTTCACTAAGCTAAAAACTATATGTAGGGATGGCAATTCGAACTGTTAAAATCAAAAATCGCTGTTAACCGAACCGAATGGGACGAAAAAAATCGAACCGATAGGGACAATGGGGTGGTTATGGTTTTGATTTTAATGAACCACTTCATTTAGGGACGGGTATGGTATTTAGCGATGGTGCCCCGCCCCGAACCGATTAGCCATTAAAAAAAATTAATTGGACAATTGGGCTTTTCATTATTCTTTCTCAAAATTAATTGGGCAATTTTGACAATTGAGCTTTCCAGAATTCTGGCCCAATTTACATTAAGTAAATCTTAACCCAATAACCGAGTCCACTGCCCAGGTAGCCCAATTTCAATATACTCTACACGTTAAATTAAAACACAGGTTTAAAATCTCCAGACTACACTTCTCATCCACTCAAATCCGCCGCCGCCCTGCCAGTTCATGATCCATAGGTACTAATAAAAGAAATAGATTTTTTGAAGATATGGGGTGGATTTAAAGACTTAGATTTCTTTGCTCTCAAGAACTAGATGCTTATTGTTTACATTAATGCATCATGTTCAATAATGATGCAATATTGATTTATATAATTTTTTAGTTTATTTTGCTTCCAGGATTATGGTAATGTTGCATAAACCATTTTAATAAAAATATAATGATTGGTGGCCCAGATGTCTTGCCATCGATCGACGTCTTCTGTTCCGACTCCTCTCGCTTCAGTTGGAAGTGTTGAAGTTGGAGATACTGCTACTGGCATTCAAGATGATACATCAAGTACACCGGGTACTTCACAAAATTCAAGTGCGGTAAATGCAAATCCTACTCATATAGATTTAGGTGATGATGAGGAGCCGACTGAGGAAATTAGAAAAAGAAAATTGACATCTACACTGTGGTAGGATTTCAAGCTACAGAGAATTAATAATGTGCCCAAAGCAATTTGTAAACAATGCAAGAAGCAGATGTTTTTGAATCAATTTAAAGAACCTAGTGATAGGACTACAATGGGACCATTTAATTTTGATCAAGAGAAAGGTAGGAACGAACTTGCAAATATGATCATCCTACATGAATATCCTATTTCATTGGTTGAGCATTTTAGGTTTAGAAAATTTTGTAATACAATTCAACCATTATTTAAAGTTGTTTCTCGTAATACCATAAAGACTGCTATCTTGAAAATTTATGATTACGAGAGAACAAAAGTAATGGACTTGTTAGAGGGGACCAACAGTAAAATAACAGCCACTGCTGATATGTGGACATCTAATCAAAAGAAGGGATTTATGGCTATCGTAATTTTTTTTTCACTTAGACGTTTGGAGTTTGGGTTTATAAAAAATAATTTATTTTTGTGGTTATTAACCGAACCGAATCAAACCAAGATACGAACCGAACCGACTTACGTGGTTATGGTGCGGTTATGGTATGGCCAAGAATTTGTTGGTGCGATTATGGTTTTGGCCTAACCGACCCAGAACCGAACAGTTGTCATCCCTAACTATATGGGAGGAGCTAAGTAATTATTGTGCTACATGTAGTTGTGGTAAGTGCACTTGTGGTGGAGTAAAAGAATTGAACAATCACTATCAAATGGAATACATAATGTCGTTTCTCATGGGACTGCACGACTTATTCTCACAAATCAAAGGACAATTGCTGTTCATGGATCCCCTACCTCCAATTAATAAGGTATTTTCTTTGACCTCTCAAGAAGAAAATCAAAGAAAGATAAGTACACAGATGAATAATGGAAATGACATAAATGGAGCAGATGCATTTTCTTTAAATCTGATAATATCAAAGCCACGTCTGGATCTGGAAGTTACAACAATAATTCGAGATTTGGAAGCACTGGGAATATTAAGAAGAAAGATAGACCTTATTATACACACTGCAATATTCATGGACATTCTATTAAGAAATGCTACAAAATTCATAGATATCCTTCGAGATATAAACCAAGGTCTAGAGAGGATTTTCAAAACTCCTCTAGTCATAATTCAGTCAACCAAGTATCTGCTTCTTTCATCACACAAAATGAAGAACAAAAACCTAGAATTGGGAACTTTGTTCAGATGCTGAACTCGACTCAATATCAACAATTGATATCAATATTATCTACTCATCTGGCATCCACTTCAAACACAACTACTACTGATCATCAGGACAATAAAATTTTATCTCATGCTACAGGTATATGTTCTTCTATATTCGTTAATCCGATTTTCTCTTCCAAAGATATTTGGATAGTGGACTCAGGTACTACCAAGCATGTGTCCTCTATTGCTACTGCATTTATGAACGTGAAAATTATAGATGATTCTAATGTCATCTTGCCTAATCACACACAAATTCCGATTAGACTATGTGGGGATGTTAGATTAAGCTCAAAACTGGTACTGCATGATGTATTGTTTGTGCCACAATTCAAGTTCAATCTATTGTTAGTTAGTGCCTTAACTCTTGGACATAACTCACATTGACTTTCTTTCATGATTCCTTCATCATTCAGGATGCCAAAACCTGGAAGATGACTAGCAGGGGTGATCGAATACAGGACCTATATGTCCTTGGTGTTAAAGGTCTGAATTCACTTTCTAATGCTTTTGCTAATAATGTTTCTGTACATATGTGGCACAACAGACTTGGCCGTCTTTCCTTTAAGAGACTATATTGTTTGAAAGATCAATTGATGTTTGATGTTTCCAAATTAAATAAACACATGCCTTGTTATATTTACCCTCTAAAGGTTGTCATTTGATTCAAATAACAACTGTTCAGATAATCCATTTTACATCATACACCGCGGCATTTGGGGGCCATATCAAGTTACCTCACACTCAGGGCACATATATTTTTTTAACTTTGGTGGATGATTGTTCAAGATTCACTTGTTTGTATCTATTGAAACAGATATATTATGTTGCAACTGTAATTCCCAGAATTTTCAATATGATTAACACTCAGTTCAATGTTAGAACCAAAGGTTCAGATCATATAATGCTAATGAATTGGCATTCACTGAATTTTTTTGCTGAAAAAAGGGTAATGCATCAATTTAGTTGTGTGGAAGGACCACAGCGAAACTCTGTGGTTGAGAGGAAGTACCAACATCTTTTAAATGTGGCCAAATCCATGTATTTCTAGGCACGTGTTCCTATTAAGTTTTAGTGTGATTTTGTATTGGTGGCTACATTCTTAATTAATAGATCTCCATCCTGAAACGCAAGACACCTTTTAAGGTACTATATAGCAAACCTACTGACTACTCCTTCCTAAAAGTGTTAGGCTGCTTAGCCTTTGCATCTACATTGACTACTCATAGGAACAAATTCTAGATACGAGCCCGAAGATGTGTATTCTTGAGATATCCTTCTGGCGTAAAAGGATATAAACTTTATGATGTGGAAACAAAACACATTTTCTTATCAAGAGATTTTATATTCCATGAAAATATTTTCCCTTTTCATATTGTCTAGCGAATGATCAGCTATTGGATCCATTCTCTGACTTAGTACTACTAGTTCCCCATTCAAACTGCTATCAACCTTTGCCTGATCCCACAATGGAGCATTATTCTACCATTACTCTCTTTGATGACACTCAAATCTCACCTCAAAATGAGCACTAATCTCCTGTACCACAATATGTTGATCTGTATTAGTTCACAACAGAATTGATCAAGATAATATCCAACACACTGATACAATACCAATGTTTAAGCCTAATCCTACAACTAATATAAGACAGTCTCATAGAACTACTAGACCCCCTAACTATCTTAGAGACTATCACTACAAGTTGCTGTCACCAAAATCCCAATTTTACTAATCAAATACCTTATCACATTGGGCACTTCATGTCCTATAAAAATCTGTCTCAACATCACAGGAAATTTTTATTAAATGTCTCATCTCAGGTTGAGCCACAATTCTTCCATCAGGCTGTCAAATATTCTTAGTGGCGTGAAGCTATTAAAGAGGAACTGAAGGCTATGGAGCTCAACCACACTGGTCTGTGGTATCTTTACCCACTGGCAATCACTCTGTTAGTTGCAAGTAGATTTTCAAGATTAAGTACAAGTCAAATGGTTCAATTGATAGGCACAAAGCCCGTCTTGTAGCTAAAGGTTATACACAACAAGAAAGCTTAGACTATTTTGATACTTTTTCCCCAGTTGTGAAGATTGTTACTGACAAGATGCTGTTAGCTTTTGCAGCTTACCATAAGTGGCATTTGATCTGACTCGATGTTAATAATGCTTTCTTGAATGGTAACTTATTTGAGGAACTTTATATAGACCTTCCACTTGGCTATGAGGTCCACAAAACTGCTAAACAGGGGGAAATTGGTCTGTAGATTGCATAAATTCATATACGAACTCAAGTTGGCATTAGGATAATGGAATTCAAAATTCACACATGTGCTTATTCAATGTGGCTTCACTTAATCGAAGTTTGATTATTCACTGTTTACTAAAGGGTTTGGTAATGAACTTGTAGTCTTGCTTGTGTATGTTGAAGACATCATTATCATTGGACCGACATTCAAGTTATTGACTCTTTAAGGTCATTTCTATACCCTCAGCTCAAACTTAAAGATTGAGGTGATTTGAAATATTTCTTGGGCATTGAAATTGCTCGTTCAAATTCAGGGATTGTCATTTCACAAAGACATTATACATTACAATTGGTTGGAGACTCTGGTTTTCTGGATAGCAAACCTACAAATACTCCTATGGATCCTAAAGCCTCTCTGAGCATTCAAGATGGAGATCTATTATTAGATGCATCTCATTATAGGTGTTTGATTGGGAAGCTGATTTATTTGACTCTTCCACGTTCTGACATTACATTTGTTGTGCACAAATTGAATCAATTTTTATCTCAACCTAGGGCATCACATCTCAAAGCTATACATCACTCCTTAGATACTTGAAAGGTTGTCTTGGTCAAGGCCTATTCTTCTCTGCATTTTCTGATTCTAGTTTACCTATCAAAGTTCAAGCTTTTTCGGTTGCAGACTGGGGTTCTTATCTTGAAATGAGGAAATCTACCACTGTATTCTGCATTTTTTTGGTGACTCCTTGATATCTTGGAAAGCTAAACGCCAATTTACGGTATCTCCTTCTTCAGCTAAAGCAGAATATAGGACACTTGCTGCTACCATAAGTGAAATTGTTTGGATCAACCAATTACTGGAAGATTTTTACACAGTGGCAGCCTCACTAGCAGTTCTTTTCTGTGATAATCATGCTGCCATTCAAATTGCTACCAATCCAATTTTTCATAAACGAACGAAGCATATCGAAATTGGCTGTCACTTCATACGAGACAAAATTGGAGTTGGAATGGTTAAATTTCTGCCAATTTGATCACAGCATCAGCTTGATAATGTTTTAACCAAGCCTCTTCATGCATCAGCTATCCTTCCTTTGTTGTCCAAGATGTCTGCAAAGAATATTTACACTTCATCTTGAGGGGAAGTATTAGAAGCATCAGTTAGTTAGTTGTCCAAATTGTTATTTTAGTTTGTTAGTTGGTTGTCCCGCTTTGGCCCCAACATTGTGTAGTATTTATACAGCTTTGTACATTCATTTTGTATGATTTTGATCAATAATGAAATCTTCTTCTTCATCTCGATTCTGAATCTAATAAGAATGGTATTGCTTGCGTGAAAATGTTGGACAAATTTAAAACCGATGTTACTTTTCAATTGTTTGAGCCCTCCATTTCCACATTCTCACTAAATTCCAAAACTTGATACTCGTGAGCTTGGCCCGTGCTCGGCTCATTACTCATGGGCCAAGCTCGGCTCGGTTCCGCTCGTGAGCTCGTGGCTGAGCCGAGCTTTGGCTTATGCTTGTAAAAAAAGAATTTTTTTTAAGATAAACCTTTTTAAAAAATAAAAAAAATTAACCATTCGTCAAGATGGCCCACAAGCCGCTAGCCCGTGGGCGAGCTAAGCGAGCTCAGCTCGTGACGAGCCCGAGCCACCTACGAACCGCCATTTCACGAACCGACGAGCCGCTGGGCCCATTTGCCACCACTATTCATCCCCCGAAAGGACTTCATTAAAAGAGTTGCTGACATGACAAGGAAGTTTTTTATGTGTCCAGCTAGGACAAATTGTACATTTATATCGTGTCTGGCTGCCTTTTATGGTACACAATTTAGAGAAAGCGCATGTTCAAGAATGATCAAACAAGGGTTATAAGATGCTGCTATTTCTCCTGTGCTCTTCAAATGGTGGTTCTTAGAACCAGGCTCCTCCTCGTACACCAATTTTTTCGTCCATTTAGGCATTTACCGTTAGAATCGTCACCCACAAATATCACCATCAAATCCTCATAGATCGATTTTTGTTTCACTTGAGAACATGTAAATCCACTCTAACAGTCCAAAAATGGAAAATGCTAGAAGTACACCATGATGTACACCTTACCAACAAATACATGCCCCAATGCTTATTCACTCCATTCAAAAACCCAATTTCTTGCTCTCCAAACTCATTATCCTCAAGGACTTTGATTATTCTACTCGCTTCTTCTCTCAAATTTCCAATGTCAATGACTATGCTTTCAATATCATGGTCCGGGGCATTACCACTACATGGCAAAAGTTCAATCTTGCATTGGAATATTATGGAAAGATGAAATCTTTAGGTGTAAAACTAGACAATTTCACGTGCCGTTTGTGTTCATATCTTGTAGGAATCTTTTGGCCCTGAAAATAGGTAGATTGACCCATTGTGAGGTGATGAAAAATGGGTTGTGCGTTGATTTTCATGTGGTTCATTCATTGATCACCATGTATTCACGGTGTGGTCATGTGGGTTTTACGCAAAAATTGTTTAATGAAATGGATGAGAGGGATATGGTGTCATGGAACTCGATGGTCTCGGGGTATTCCAGGATAGCGTTTGCTAGAGAGGCAGTGGAGTTGTTTGGATAGATGAGGGAGAAAGGCTTGGAGCCTAGTAAGATGTCCATTGTTAGCGTGCTTGGGGCATGTTGTGACTTGGAGGATTTGAATTTGGGAAGGTGGATTGAAGAGTATGTCATGGTGAAGGGATGGAATTGAACACTTATATTGATTCTGCTTTGATTGATATGTGTGAAAATTGTGGGGACTTCTTGTCAGCTAGGAGGTGTTTAATGGCGTAAGAAAGAAAGAAGTAATCACCTGGAATGCCATGATTACTGGGTTAGTGTTTGTTTTCCTATTCCTACTTCTTGGTCTTATTTGTTACTATTGTCATGTGCATTTACTTAGAATTTTAAACCAGAAGGGTTGCTGTTTTCTTGAATTTTTCCTTTTCCATATGTACCTCCATTATAAACTTCCATATAAAACAGATATGCACAAAATGGATCATCGGATGAAGCAATTTCACTATTCAATGCCATGAAGGAGGCAGGGACTGACCCTAATGAAATCATGTTGATTGAAGTTCTCACCGCATGTGCATCAATTGGTTCTCTGGAATTTGGGAAATCGATTGATGAATACGCATCAAAAAGAGGTTTTCAAAATGATGTATATGTGGCTACTGCGTTTGTCGACATGTATGCTAAGTGCGAGAATTTAGATCGTGTATTTTGAGTTTTTCAGAACCTGCCTAAAAAAATGAGGTATCTTAGAATGCAATGATCTCTGTACTTAGTTTTTATGGGCGAGCACAAGAAGCCCTATCACTGTTCCAGCGCATGTCGCAGGAGGGTGGTGCTGCTTGCCCAAATATTATCACATTTGTTGGATTACTGTTTGCATGTGTTCATGTTGGATTAGTAGATGAAGGTCGTCGGTTGTTTGATATGATGAGCTCATATTTTGGACTAGTTCCGAAAATTGAGCATTATTCTTGCATGGTGGATCTTCTATCTCGTGCTGGACGGGTGTATGAGGCATGGAACTTCATTCAAAAGATGCTAGAAAAGCCAGATGAGATTTTATTAGGTGAATTGCTTGGTGGCTATCATAAACTCAAGATGTAGATGTTGGCGAGTGGGTCATGAAGCTTCAAGCCTTCGAACTCTGGTAACTATGTGATAACATCAAGTATATATATGCAAATATGAGAACGTGGGATGATTATGCTAGAATGAGGGTTTTAATGAAACAGAAGGGAGTCGTCAAGAGTCCAGGGTGTAGTTGGATTGATCTAGATGGCCAACTCCGTGAATTTCATGCCGGTGACTTGATATTCGAAGATGCGCAAGATATTTATCAAGTTCTTGGCATCCTCTATGACGACATGACAATGGATGTTTACATTGTAGACATTTATCTCCTATAGAAATGTATGGTCGACAGTTTCTTGCATTTGATCAAATTTATCAACAGCTAACATGCTTCTATACAAAGTTGGCACTTTTGGTAAGATGAATTAAATAGCACTGGCCAGTAGTAAGAAGGATCTCTATTCTCCACTTCAATGTCTCAACAGCCACTCGTATGTGATGAACCGAGTTCTATTAGCTAACAAGGTTTGTAAGGCTAGCAAAAATTTTGTGCACTTTTTACTATTAGATTCCTCGAGAAGCCTTATTTGATTGCTAATGTTGTGTTGTTTGGGTTTTCTAATCATGCAAGAGAGTGAGTGATTCAAACGGGAAAGAGAACAAAGAGATATCACTGTTTTTGAAAGGGCACAGAGATTAATAGCGTTCCTGCTTATTCAAAGATATGTTCACTTACAACTTATCTTTCACTATTACAGTAGAGGAAAGCATTTCAGGACTCTCGTCACAGAATAGCCTCAATCCTAAATCCTTTATCCTAATCCTAACAACATAAAAGAGGCAATTTTTTCCACAAAAACGACATTGTCTCGTCCCATTTCCACCGCCTCCATCCCTTACCAAAACCAATCTATTTCAACTAAAAGGAAAACATTGAGGAATAGTTTTGTAGAAAAAGAAACGAAAACCATAGCCGCATTCCCATATTTGACACCTCCGCCGCCAGAGCTGAGCTCATGGTGGGGAGCACAACCTCCGTCTTCCACCAGTCACCTTCTTCATGTCGATGTCTCCGTTCGAGACAGAGGCTAGAGACGTGTCTCCACCTCGTATGGAAACATGCCCGTGGCTTTGTGTTTGACGTCTCGGACGGTGTTGCGCACGGAGACAGGCCATGTCTTCGTTGCGCACAGCGATCACCTGTCAGTCTTAGAGCTCAGATCAGAACCCCTTCCCCTGTCCTCGAATGCTTAGAATACAAGATGGCAACCATGGGTATAAATTGCTTCATTTTCTAATTCAACTATGATTTGTTGATGATTGAATCGTGATCTGTTTTCTTTTGTACTATCTGAGTTGGTTTGAGTTTGATTTTTTTCCCTTTTTGAGTAAATGTAGATGTATTGTTGATCTAATAGGTTACTTTGGTTCGTTTGAGACTGCTATGTACTTGTGCAGTGCTTATTGCTTGTTGTGAGATTTTGATTCATTGTTCTTTTGTTTATCTATCAACGTTTTAAAAACATAGTTCAACCAGTGGTTTGCATTTGAATATGTTGGGGAATGAATTCTTGACTTCAATTCAATTGACCTATGTTGGTGGTGCTTGCCTTTAAGAGCAGATAACCATTCGTTGCCTACCTGCACACACTTATACACACCTGATCTGTTGGCTTTTCATTATAGTCAAATTATAGAGCTCATGAACTTGTTGTGCAAATTGGTTTTCCAAAGCTTGCACATAGAATTGTTCAACTATTACCTCCTAGGGTGATAAGGAAGACATTTCTTTTTCTTGAAGTTTTAATAATGAACTATTTCTTTTTATTGTGTCAAACATTTTAAAGTGGAAGATAATGAATTGCTCTCTTTTAGGGTCTGGTCTTAGGAAATCGTAATTCTCACGTTACAATGGACTGGCAAAGTTGGTATTACTTTTCTTGTTTTCAAATTTTAAATGAAACAACTGCATGTATTTATGTCTGAAAAAAATTGATGAGGTAGGAATGCATGTAGAGATAATCTAGATTTCAATTGATTCTATTTCAACTAAAAGGAAAACATTGAAGAATAGTTTTGTAGAAAAAGAAAAGAAAACCATAGCCGCATCCCCATATTTGACACCTCCGCCGCCAGAGCTGAGCTCATGGTGGAGGAGCGCAACCTCCGTCTTCCACCAGTCACCTTCTTCATGCCGATTTCCCAATACAAAGACATCGTCGGTGTCTCCGTTCGAGACAGAGGCCAGAGACGTGTCTCCGCCTCGTATGGAAACATGCCCGTGTCTTTGTGTTTGACGTCTAGGACGGTGTTGCGCACGGAGACAGGCCATGTCTTCGTTACGCACAGCGATCACCTGTCAGTCTTAGAGCTCAGATCAGAACCCCTTCCCCTGTCCTCGAATGCTTAGAATACAAGATGGCAACCATGGGTATAATTTGCTTCATTTTCTAATTCAACTATGATTTGTTAATGATTGAATCGTGATCTGTTTTCTTTTGTACTATCTGAGTTGGTTTGAGTTTGATTTTTTTCCCTTTTTGAGTAAATGTAGATTTATTGTTCATCTAATAGGTTATTTTGGTTCGTCTGAGACTGCTATGTACTTGTGCAGTGCTTATTACTTGTTGTGAGATTTTGATTCATTGTTCTTTTGTTTATCTATTAACGTTTTAAAAACATAGTTCAACCAGTGGTTTGCATTTGAATATTTTGGGGAATGAATTCTTGACTTCAATTCAATTGACCTATGTTGGTGGTGCTTGCCTTTAAGAGCAGATAATCATTCGTTGCCTACCTGCACACAGTTATACACACCTAATCTGTTGGCTTTTCATTATAGTCAAATTATGGAGCTCATGAACTTGTGCAAATTGGTTTTCCAAAGCTTGCACATAGAATTGTTCAACTATTACCTCCTAGGGTGATAATGAAGACATTTCTTTTTCTTGAAGTTTTAATAGTAAACTATTTCTTTTTATTGTGTCAAACATTTTAAAGTGGAAGATAATGAATTGCTCTCTTTTAGGGTCTGGTCTTAGGAAATCGTAATTCTCACGTTACAATTGACTGGCAAAGTTGGTATTACTTTTCTTGTTTTCAAATTTTAAATGAAACAACTGCATGTATTTATGTCTGAAAAAAATTGATGAGGTAGGAATGCATGTAAAGATAATCTAGATTTCAATTGATTCTCTTGATGATGTATTTACATACTATTCTTCTTTGTTTCAATTTTGTAATTTCACTAGGGAAGAGATACATTTGTTATTTTTTGTTTTTGTTTTTGTTCTTTTAGATTGTAGTTTGTAGGTTATGTTGGTGTTTTTGTTGTTCCCATCCTCAAATTTCAATTGCAAAGAAAACGCATACCGGTAGCCAGCGATTTTTTGATTTATTATTTATGTTTATGATTTATGGATGTATTTGTGAATTGTGAGCGTGTAATATTTACTGTGAGGATTTTGAAAAGGGCGTGATTTCATTATTAAGGTGGAAAAGCTCGGAACTGGTAGTGATTTTCCATACAGAATTTTTGTACATCCTGGAGGAGAAGGCCTTATTTGTTAATTGCCTAAGAGTTGCAAGTACGTTCTGTAGCTACATTTCCATGTGAAATTGGCGATCATGTTATGGCCAAGATTGTCTTTCCAAGTCTTAGAAATGTTGAATTTACTTGATTGATGTTCAAACGAAAATTTGAAGTAAAACCACAGTAGAAATTGAGTTCTTTGTACCTTGAAATACGAGTTCAATTTATACTTTCGTATCAAACAACCACAATAGAAATTGACTTCATGACATTTTCCATGGAATTTAGCCCAATCAAATGGACACTATGTTATTATTAGTGTTATCTAAATCTTAGTAGGCGTTAGATAGGGCTTGGTATCTCCAACATCTATCTTGACTTCTTTTTCACACTTTATCTCTATCGAAGTTCATTTATCTTAAACGATGAAATTTAGCATTCAATTCTTGAACCAATGCATAACTTTAGCAATTTATGTGGATGATTGGAAAACATTAAAATGGATTCTTCTTACTCTTCCTTTTTAGCACTGGAACTGCTTTGAAATATGGTGACTGACTTTTTCTTAGTTGTTACTGTAGGCATTTGGATTTTTCAGCAGAGATTACACGCATTTTTTAAAACTTTGGTGTTTGTTCTCTTTTGTAGAGGCTCGAAGTTATCAGAAAATAAATGTGTTTCTTTGATAAGGAGAGATTTCAGCTTATCAAGCACTTCGCTTATCCTTGGCTTGTAAATGAAAGTTCGGTTTCTTTTCACTTGTGAGTATACCTACATTTGATGTACTAACGAATTCACTAATGTTTTTTTCAAAAGTACTAGATCATAAGAAATCAAGGAATTGCATACAAATATGTATTTTATTTTATTATTTTTAATTTGTAGGTCTTGTGCTATAGTATCTTTGTCACTTATAATTGTATATCAGCAGAGTCCCCCCTCACCCCCTTAATGTCAACGCACGCATAAAAATAGGCTGATAAGTTCACTGATTGAATTTATTTATTGGTGTCGGGCAATAGTTTCTTTGGACTACTCTTGGACATAAATGCCTCTTGTTTATGATGTTTGGTAGTATGGATGTACTGATTAGACTTTGGAGGTTTATATGTGCTTCAACCCTTTGGATATAGCATGCCCTTCTCTGTTACTGCCGAGTTGACTGCTGATTCAGGATGCGGCCAAGGTACTTCTAGAGTCTTCTTTGCTCTATCTCTGCTATTTGATGAAGCTATTTATTTAATTTAAAGCTTTTGCACCACTTATCAGGGTTGGCTATTGGAGTACTAAATCTTTCTATAGTCTTACCTCATGTAGTTTATTGTCTTTATTGCTGGTTGCGTGTTTTGCTTGATTATGAATGTTGAATAGGCTTTGGCCAACTAATGTAGATGATAAATAAAATAAAATATAGCCATTATATTTGAGTTGGCTTCATTGTTTGTGCTACGGATGATTTTCTGATATAAAATAGTTTATTTTTCTCATCAGATGATTGTGTCCCTTGGTACAGGTCCGTGGCACCAATTCATTACCCTGTTTGTATCGTTTGTAGTATGGAAGCCTTCTCAATTCTGGAATGCTGGCTTTCTTTGGGGCGTAAGTATATATTTCTCTATGACTCTATGTTGGCGTAAGTATCTATTTCTCCATGACTCTATGTTACTTTATTGTAGTATCATTAAATCATGGATTCTGTCTTGCAATTATTTTGAAAGTGTAGGAAAAAATGAAAGTGGAAAAAAAAAACTGGATGTAATATATTAATCAGAAGTATTCTATGCAGGCGTATGATCTTGCAGAAATTGAGAAATAGCCCGTCACTGTTTATTAACTATGTAGTTTTTGAAATTAATAGTTTTTATGTTTCCATAATTAATTTCATAAAGTATGTAACTGCGGAAAGTTAATGAGTTTTTTTTCCCTAGGATGGGCTTTACTTATTTTTACTGTCGATGTTTTCTAATTAGTAGTTACAATCAATGCTTTGCTGTTGACATATTTATGTCTTTGACACTTTTTGGGGCTTATTATCTCTCAAATGAAATAGGAGAATTAACAACCTTAAGATCAATATACTGCAAACATTAGTAATTACAATCTTTTCTTTGACATATTTATGTCTTTTACACTTTTTGGAGCTTATTATCTCTTAACTGAAGGAGGAGAATTAACAACCTTAATTTCAATATACTGCAAACATTTTGTTAATTTCTTGTAACTATTGTCAAATTAGTACGTTAGAAAATTGGTTTTTCTTCCTACTAATGTGCAGTTGACTTCAATTTGACAGAAACTTAAAATACATTTTATCATTATCTAATTTCGTCTCATATATAGTGGAGTTGTACTTACGTATACGTGTTTGTGTACGGTCTGATTGTATTGCAAGTGTACTCACTTAACCTCTTAATTCTTGCTGGTATGATGACGCATACATTCCACCTTCAATTCTTTAGAAGAGAGAAGCTTATATTTAGAACCCCTCAAATTAGTTTGATGAACTTGTATGTGAATGGTTTGTATTAAGGGCAAGTATGATGCTAAACTTGAAAGTTCCCTTAGTCCCTTGCTTATCACTGCATAAGATCGCAAATGAACACCCAAAGCTTGTATGAACTTATTTATGTTCATTTCTATACATGTATTTAATGTCATAATTTTGGGGCGTTAAAATGCATTCACGTTACAAAGAGAACAAAAATATTAACATAGGTTTGTATCCAGTTGAAAGGATAAATGAGCATACTATTAGGCTCCACACAGTGAAACAGGAATGAGGATATTACCGTATTTCTTGATTGTACTCCCAAGTTCTGCATTTGCCCCCCAGCAAACTTTCTGTCAACAATTTGCCCTATCTGCTCAACTTGCTTCATAAAGATTCTTGTGAGCATGGCTAATTGATTTAAATGTGTGCTAATAGGATGTGCACAATGCCAGAAGCTAAAGATACATTGAGGCCAATAGAAGTTGCAGATGATAAGCTTGTGGTTTCAGATGGACGCAATCCAAGATCGGTGAGTCCTGACAACTTTAAGGTTATTTAAGTAGTAGTGAGCTAAGTTCCATCTGTATGAATCGGCCTAGGTGCTATAAACTTGATGTATATGAACAGAAACCTGGGTAGAGCTCCAGTGAAAATTAATTTACTTATTTTTCTTCTGTCAGAAGGATGTAAAACGTCAACCGAAAGATATATTAGGCGAAGTTTCAAAGACGCATGATGCGATACAGTAAGCTCCTTGTCTTGAAGTAGGTTATAATTCAATTTAAGTATTGATAAAATTTTCAAAGTCATGGCCATAAAAAATGCAGGACTCTGGATAAGACTATTTCAAACTTGGAGATGGAATTAGCCACAGCCACAGCTGGACAAAATTCCCTACTTAGCGGTGCCCCCATGTCTGAAGACGTCAAGATTCCGGAATGTCAAAGTTGATGATGACGTCCACGTAAATATAGGGAAAGCTGATATTCTCCCTTTAGAAATTATCTTGTCGATATTTCGAATTTAATCTTACATGAATTCCATCTACGATAATAAATCTCAGTTTCCTCTTTTTTCTGTGCTATTTTCTCTATGGTGCTTTTTTGCTAGCTTGTCTGTTAAAGAAATCACCCGGCGGGATAGTAACTTTCCATCTTTCTTACTATTGGTTTAGCTATATTTGGTCCTGTAATTTTTATTTTTTTTTTCCTTTTTTTGCACATGTTAGCACATACCAACCATGTATTATTTTTACGTTTCTCATTAATCACCAAAAGGGATAAAAGATTTTTTGTAGTATGCTCTGTGTACATGCTTCTTAGAACACTTACTTAAAAGATTTGTGGAAATGAACTGTAGCAACATTAGGAGCAACGCTAACTCGACATTGCTCAAAACCAAGGGTGTATATTGACTGCATGAAATCTCGTCCTATACTTGCTCAAAAGTAAGTATAAACCTCCTAAAAAGTTGGTCTCTTTGTAAACACCATGGACCGGAGTACTGGAAATTTGGTTTTCCAGGAAATAAATATTTTCGTCATGCTAGAGGACAATTATATGCCATCTCAAAAGATTTGGCTACTTATGTATCAATAAACTAGTGAGTTTTAGCTTTCCTGGGATTTTATGTTTCTTTCTATGCTTCCCTGTATTGTCTTATTGATTTATAATTTTACTTATCCTAGGCACCTTCTGCACAAGTACGGAAATGAGGATGTTTCAATGGAAGATTCATCATCTTTTTGTTTTTTAACTGTTACCCAACATATCTCCACTTCCACCTAAAAAATCTCAATCCCGTGCATCCATATGAGTCTTTAGAAATTGTGACAATTTGTTGTTAGTGAAAATTCTTAACTCAACAAATGTATACTTAGTACTATTACAAAGCTGCTTGTATCTCGTTGCTCAATCTGGTTGCCTATCAAATCTTCTTCGATCTTCTGGGATGTCGATAGGCTGAGTTCCTATAATGGTTCTTTCTCTCATAGGTTGTAAAAAAATCACTCATAGGTTCCTATGATAGGGATGCGAAGAAGTTTAAAATATTATTTCTGACTTAAAACTTCTTTTTCATGAGTTTGAAGTTCTTTTTCTCTGTTTTAAGGAGTTATTTAACGCTGTCGTAAAAAATAGTAGATTGTATTCGATGAACGGAAGCATTCTTAGCCATGTATTACTCCCAAAAGTAAGAAGAAACACATGATACTAAAATTTGGCATGGAAATGCCACCGCATTCAAAAGTCACAAGATCTTCATAGAGAACTGAAGAAGAACCACAGTTAAAAATCTTACCAAGAATATTCTAAGGATCTGAGATCATGTGATTGAGCTCTTTTCCATTCGTAAAGGTACGAAACGCAACTAGATTTTTGTACTATATGTTTCATACCGAGCATTGGGTAGAACAACTGCATAATATAATAAATAAGATTTTAAATTCTTTTTTATTCTACATCACTATCTAATACTCCCCAACAACGAGCCATTATGGTTTCAGAATCCAGGAGTTTAAAATATTCCTATCAATTTTTACCAGCTCAGAGACAAATTGGAGAGACATCCCTTAATGAAACAAGCTATAGATCTCATCAAATCATTAGATTGGTATTTCTATTTCTCAACCCTATACTTGTTTCCTCCAAAACTTTCATGTAACAAACCATTACTAACATTTCTATTCCATTTATTGACATAATCTTCTTGTAAAAAATTGAAAACTCCTATCAAGGGGTCTTCCGAAATGATAATTCAAGCATTCTTGAACGTGAAGGAGAATCTGCATATAACGAATGCCTCGAGTTTTCTTAATTTAGGTAAATCAAGGACGGATGCAAGAGGACGAAGCAAGAAAATATTTTCAGCAACTTATTAATGTCGTTGATTATTGTCATATCAGGAGAGTCTATTACAGATATCTAAAGGTAATTGACATTGTTTTATAGTTAGTAACATATAATCTTACATTTTCAGTTTCATAGGCAGCTCATTCTTCATTATTTGCTATTGTAGCCTGAAAATCTAATGTTGGATGCCTCCAAGAACCTTAAAAGTTTCTGATTTTGGTTTGAGTGCTCTGTCTCAACAAGTAACGGTGAACATTGGTTTTACGGTAACCTTTACATTTTCTTTGCTTTTCCGGATTCTGGTTTTGATTTGAATTTTCTCAATTTATCCATTAAAGTATATAATACAAAAGGCTTTTAACATTATAGCAACCGAGAATTTTAAATTATTACCTTGAAAAACGGGTCGCTAAGTTTTAACTCCAAATTTTAAAATGAAACGTGTTCGTCTAGTCGTTACAAAACGAATTTACATCTATTTTAAGTCGTGGCCAACCTCGAATAAATTTTTATTAATCAATTCCTATTCCTTTTATCTAAATTAACTCCACAGTCGACAAACCGCACCCACATCACTCGGGTGAAGCTCCATCAGTCGCGTTAGGCCTCCAATTTGAGCCTCTGTTTGAGCCCAGCTTTGTTTAATTAATTTGATTTGGTCAGTGGACGTTTGGGCTTTGATTCTTTTGCTAGTTAATTATTTTGTTTTTGGGCCCAATATTTGTAGTTTGATTTTAGTGCTTAAAAAAAAGAGTATTTTTGTCGCCTTAATTTGTGTCTAGTTAGTCTTACATCTGGGCCTCGATTTGGACCCCTATTTTATTATACTGTATAATTTGTTTTAGTTAAAAAAAAAAAATCTAACGTTTTGTAGGTACCTTTCTTTCATGTGTTGATTGGCACAGTTACTTCAGCAGCAAAACGGGACCTACTGTTTCTTGTCTCTGGAGATTAATTTCTTGGTGCTCATTTGCTTCGACGGACAACAGAAACGCTATTATTCTTCTCCTTAATTTTACAATACTGTTTCATTATAAAATTGCGTCAATTAAGTTTTTGTATTGCTATTATTCCTCATTTACCTACAAATTCACGTCACTAAACCCATAATTGTGTTTTTCGCTCATTTTTATCCTACTTATTTAAGCCCTAACTATATTATACCCTCAATTATTTTACACGATTGAATTGCTGTTAGTATTTGATATTTGTCTTATTATTTTACATAGATCAGCGATAGTAGTTGCTAAGAATACTGGCGATCACATTACTCGATATTTTCCTCAGGTTGCTTTGCTTCTGGCACTTTTTCTCGATTGAATTTTGTGCATAAATGTTTAGTTACTTGAGATTTAGTGAGCGAAGAAAGATGCTTTCATTTGTGTGATTTTTCAGTTGGATAACAAAAAGCTCGAGGCTTTACCAAATGGAAAAGGCCGGAGACCAGTGATGCAGGTAATTTAATTTTCAACCATGACTGGTTCGTGTTGAATATTAGTTGATAATGCAGTTTGGTGAACAGAAAATATTTAACTGGTACAAATATTTCTTGGCAGTTGGTCGGTGATCTTTAGTGGTGGTTCATTCAGATTGACCGGAATAGATGGTCGTGGATAAAATCTAATGTGAAATTAGATTAAAAATTTGTTTCCAGACTATTAACACCTACTAAACTATTGTTATCATGAACTGCATTTTTTTAACATTTCACGCAAGATTTTCATACTAAAGACTATTGTCTTGTGCTAATTTAATACAAGATTTTTCATGCTGAAAACTTTGTTCCTTTTGTCCTGTAAATGGTGTGTTTGAGCCACATTTGTTGTATGATGTGTTTCTTCTTAATTTATTTGCTTCTACACTATTTTTTGGATTGTGTATTTGCATACTCATTTATATAATTTTGACCTTTTTAGTGTTGGGGACTCTTAGCTTAGTTCT